CCTTCTTTAGGCATTCTTACTTGTGCTTTGTAACACCTTTTTAATACTATTACAGGAAACCCAGCATTAGATAGCCTGGCCACCTTACTAAAGAAGGAGAAAAAGAATTAGCCTGGGTAGAACAGCTTATACGTCAAGCTAAACTAACCCATATAGATTTATCTAAACCAGTTATACTCTTAATTTTTCCATCATCCCATTCTCCTACGGCTATAATATGGCAAAAAGAAGCACTGTTAGAATGGATTTTTCTTCCACACAAGGAACAGAAGCGACTCACTACTTATATAGACAAAATAGGTTTAATTGTGTTGAAAGGCCGAGCTCCCCTACGACAGTTATGAGGAAAAGACCCTGAATCTACCTTTTTTTCCTTGACAAAGCAGCAGATAGATCAGGCATTACTAATGAATGAACAGTGGCAAATTGGACTTGAGGACTATATTAGAAAAATAGACAATCATTTCCCTATTTCTAAACTTTTTCAGTTTCTAAAACGGCATAACTGGATTTCACCTAAAATTGTGCACATATTACACTGATGGTAGTAGCAATGGAAAAGCCGGATATGTAGGAAGAATTTCTAAAGTATGGCACACTCCTCATTCTGCACAAAGAACAGCACTCCAGGCAGTTACCCAGCTTTTTTTAGATGTTCCAGAATCCACTAATACTGTTACAGACTCCCAATATATATGGTTCACAGTTAATCATATAGAAACAGCTACTTTGTCTAATGATACTGAACTCGGTCAATTGTTCTGCCAATTACAAACTAATATTCGTAATAGAGACTTTCCTATTTATATAACATATTCGTTCTCATTCACATCTTCCTGGTGACATGGTTAAATAGAATGATGAAGTGGATACACTTGTTGCTATTCCTTCACCAGATTGTTTAGCCACTGAATTTCATACTTTAACTCATGTAAATACCAAAGCTTTGCGTAAAAAATTTCCTCAACTTTCCATTCAACAAGCTCACAGGGGCTGGGGATTTAGCTCAGCAGTAAAGCGCCTGCCTGGCTAGCGCAAGGTTGTGAGTTCGATTCCCGGTACCGGAAAAAAACTAAGAAAAACAAAAACAAAAACAAAACAAAACAAAAAAACAAGCTCACAAAATTATTTTATTGTGCCCTACCTGTGGAATGCTTAATAAACCTGTTTTTCAGCCTGGAACAAATCCTAGAGGCTTGCAAAGTAATGAGTTGTGGCAAATGGATGTAACACATATTCCTGCTTTTGGAAAACTTGGATTTGTACATGGTATTATTGACTCATATTCTGGCTTTATATGGGCCTCTGCACAGTCAGGAGAAAAATTTGTACATGTTAAAAATCATTTGTTAGAGTGTTTTGCTATTATTGGTAAACCAAAAGCAATTAAAACTGACAATGGACCTGCTTACATGTCACATTCCTTCCAACAATTCTGTGCCTTGTGGGATATTAATCAGTATACTGGCATTCTGTATAATCCTCAAGGACAAGGTATGATTGAAAGGGCACATGCTACTCATAAATTTAGGTTAGCAAAACAAAAAGGAGGAGATGGGGATAGAAGTTCACCACACCAATTATTACATAAAGCTCTATGCACTTTAAATTTTTTGGATATTAGTAAAGATTCATCTACAGCAGCAGCAGAAAAATTTTGGGCCACCATTGTTAAGGGGCCACAAGAACCAATAGGGCAACCTTTCTTTTGGAAAGATATTCACACTGGAAAATGGGAAGGAGATATTGTTCAAATCTGGGGGAGAGGATTTGCTTGTGTCATTACAGGTTCAGGAGAAAAAGTATGGTTACCTGCTGGAAGAATTAAACCTCTGCATGAGCCACAAAAGAGTCAGATTCGATCTGACTCTCTGGATGGAAGAAATGGGAGTGATGTCATTATAGCCTCATCCCCAGACACCAACCAAGAACAGTCAAAAAGCACAACCCCCAACCTGGGGACAACTTAAGAAATTCACCCATGATGCCAAGAAGTTGCTGGACTCCACTAGACAAGACTTTATGGCTGGTAATATGTTTCTAGCCATGTGGGTATAATAGCCACTACAGTAGGCACTACCCTACAGAATTGGGCATATATGCCTGCACCAATTTATGTTAATGAATCTAGATGGCTTCCTGGTCCATATAACATATGGGGACCTTTAATAACAGTAGAAAGTCACCAGTATTCTTAAGAGGATAAAATATAAAGTGTACATATTGTTGGTAGATAAAAGATTCTATTCCTTCCCAAAATTTACTAAGAGATCTCTGCTAATTGACGATGAAATCTGACTAGTCTATTTAAATTATAAATTTCTAAAATTATAATAGAATTAGTGTAATCCAATTTGGTCAGAAATAGATTTGAGTGCACTCTGCTGTAAAGATGTTTGTTTGTTTCTTCTGTGTACTTGTTTACGTGTTTGTCTGTCATTCAGTGAACTATGGTTCCCTTTTATTTTGAGCTCAACAATTGGGTTATAGATTTAAAAGCATGCTTTCATCTGAGTTACCAGCTGGTTAAAATGATATCAAAATTAAGATATTTTAACCACAGTGCTTAGGATGCAGAGAAATTAATGGGTAGAACTCCAATTGGTAACTAGAGGAGTGGACAACCTTTATTCATTAACAAGGAGCCCCCCCGTGATCTCCATAGTCTCTTGAGAAACACCCCAATAATTGGGTTACTCCATCAGAAGAAGTTTTTCAGTTAATGTATTCATGATTCTGGATCGACAGATCTTCCAAAATGTAAAACAAAGACTTTATCATGATAAGACTTTCCTTCAGATTAAGACCTCTACCTTTAACAAAAACATGTGATGTCTATCCCATTAAAGGAGAGCAGCTTCTTATGTATTAGATTAAGATAATGGTTTAAAAAGGACATGTTATGTCAAAATGAAAATTTAAGTATGGTACCAAATGTCATCGTGATTGTCATGCAGCAATGTTAGGTATGGTTTTGATCTCTAATTTTCTGGATATATGTAACTGTTGTTTGTTAACATTCTATTAGGATTTATATGTTAGGATGTACGTGATTGTTAGAAAATGATGATTGACCACTGTTATGGACTTTGGACTATATTCTTATTTTTCCAATTTTCTACTGTCATTTTACATGGTATTATAATTGTACTTTGCCTGATCCTCTTAGTCTAACAAAGTTCATCCAGAAAACGCCGAAACAGGAAGACAATTGGCAACCTTCTCGCTGATGCTTCAAAGGATTGCAGCAAAACAAAAAGGGGGAAATGTGGAGGACATTATTTGATTAGAATGCATTGAGGACACAATGATTTGTTAGAGTTTCTTAAGATAAGGCTTTATTATACGTTCTGGATTAACCTTGAGTTTCAGATCCTCCTGTCTCAGCCTCCTGAAGGCTGGGATCATAGGCATGCCTTGGGTGATCTTTTAATTATTCTTGCTAAAATGTTTGGTATTCACTCATTTGCCCTAGCCAAGTCCTTGGTTCTTGCTCAATAAAAGGTGACAGAATTTGGTATTTGAGGGCAGTCAGTCCTAGATGCTGCTAACCACTGATCACAGAATTTTGGCTCTCATGATTTGATTTTTTTTCTTACTTTTCTTATACATCTGCGGGCACCTAGTTCAGGGGATCTGTTCACCCTGGACAGAGTTGGAGGAGAAGTCCACCAGTGATTGATCCAGACTATCAAGGGGGAATCAAGGGAAATTACTATTACTCCCTAATGGGGGAAAGGAATAAAAACTTGGAGCACAGGACTTACTTTAGGAGGTCTCCTAGTACTACTATGCCATTATTAAGGTCAGCAGAAACCTACAACACAATCTAGGGGCGGAGACAAATGGTCTAGAACCTTCAGGAATGACTATATGGGTCACCCCACCAGGAAAGAAGCAAGACTTGCTGAGGAGCTTGATGAACACCAAGGGAATACAGAAGGGGTGGTGGAAAAAGGTAGTTATAAATACCAGCCATGACTTCATGAGCAGTCACAGAAATGAGGATTGTAATTTCCATGGTGTTTGCCTAGTATTCTTCCCATGTAATATAATGTTGACAGACTTAATGTTGGCTAAGTATTGTTAAGCCTATGACATAATGTTCTTATAAAATGTTCCGATAAAGCATTACCCAAAGAAAACCCTCCTTGTCTTCTAGGGAGGGAACCAGAGTGTCTGTTTGTACATAGGAGAGTTGTAACATGTTAGACGTGACTATGAATGTGTCTTTGATGTGGAGACTAAGTATGGTTTAAGGAAATGTGTCTGTTCCTCAAGGGGCAAAGAGCTGGACTGTGAGAGTTCA